AAAATGAGAGGAGACTGGCATACAATACTGCATGCTACCTTTAATATGCAAAACGGGATCACATTTTGCCAAGAGCCCACCTATGAAAGGCACTCATAATGAGCATTGAGTAAGGAGGTAGGACTCACCCCTATTCTCTAAGAATTTAATTTTAACACCACAAAACACATTTGATGCATGTAGTAGACCCTTTTCAGACATACAGTCTCCAAGATACGTTTTAAATTTTTGTATTATTTCTCTATTTTATCTTATTCGAATTTTTCTTGCTTGTTAATTGCTAGGACAAATTGAGAAAAGGAATCTCATACTTAAAAGACAGCATTTGTGGCTGTACATCTTAGTTCCTGTTTGTCTTCCTTTCTGATTGTTCAGGTATGAATGAGAAGAATTGTGTGCATAAGTGAAAAGAATTACATGGGTACTGGCTTGAATTGCTTTTTATTTTCTTTCTTTTCCCACTTTATCCTTCCAAAAGAAGACAAGGACCCCTCACCCACATATGTGCTACATGGTCTTGTGTTCTTCTTCCCTTTATGGTTTATAGTGTACAGGACATATGGCTTGATGGCTCTTTCTGGTCCTTCCATAAATTCTGCAAATGAAGCTTCAGAAGAAATTGAAGTTACGAGAGTGGCCAGACACAAACATTTGGGGAATGGGACTAGGGCTCATGCATCTTCCATGATTCTCAGTCTGGACTTTGCACACTGCTTCTTACATTCTCATGCCCTTCACAAATGAATTAAAAACCAAGTACAGAGTCTGGGGGGCGCAGAATGAGAAGGCAAGGGAATTTGGCAGACTAAGAATTGAAACATAACACAAATGTGTCCAATGAGACCTACACAAACATTTCTAAGCCCTTGAGCAGGACATTTATCAAGATGGTATGGTAAGATCATGAAAAGCCTTATCTGGAGGCCTCTCTTTTCATTACTATCTCCTGTTATTTTAAAGATAAATCTTGGGAATAAAAGATGTCATCTGTTCTGAAAAATAGTTGAGTAACAACAGCGAATACCAAACCCACATACATGCACATGTATAAACACACACACACACACATACACACAAACACACATTTCTAGCAAGAACTGTGAGAATTTTGAATGCACTCAATATCTTTTAGTTCCCCAGTCTATTTTCTCTTACTTTACTTGTATTCTATAGATAGCTGAAGTCAACAGCAGCTTGGGGCTAAGGTCCTTTCCCATGTCAAAAACACCCCACAGTCTTTAATTAAATAACTCTCCTTTCTAAGTTATGCAGTGTCCATCTCTCAATTCCTCCATAACGAATCACTTCAAAATTTGCAGAAAGGTCAGCTATGTTTTTGCACTTTCCCTTCTTATGAGCCATTCTGGAAACAAGACAATGCATGAACTATAGCAATACCTTCACTTTTCACTTATCAAAAATGTAGTATCCTTCATTTTTTTTTTCTTGCAGAAATCTTATAAAATCTGAAATCACTTGATATTTGAATTTTAAAATTGAAAAATATTAGCCATCTTCCATCATAACATCATATATAAAAGATAAGTAAAAAGAACCCAACTAGTTAGTAATTGAATCAGACCACAATCCAATTCTACTAATTAACAATAAACTACTATATTCAAAATATTGTGCTGGTACTCAAAAATTTCAGAATCAGAGTCCCTAGGTACAAGGTAATTTCTACAGTCACAATCAATTTGCATTTCTAGAAAGTTCTAGTCAGATATTCTGGAAGAGGAATAACTTGTTTTCAAATAATGCTAGAGATCAACAACATACAGAAAGAGATTTTTATACTTCACAATATGTCAGAAACAGATATCTAAGTTATATGGAGATTTATATGAAAGTAAAATCAATATTCAAAAAACTAAAGCCAAAGCAAACCTCCTTAATAAAAGATTATGCAGCAAATGCATCAAATATAAATTGTAAGATATGATTTAAATTTTAGCTAAGGGATTAGGGAGTTTTCTAAAGAAATCTAGTTGCTCTATCCACATGATATAGAATGAATGGGAGAAACATGGAGGTACAGAGACAGGAAAATAAAAATAAAGACACAGAAATGAGGTGATTTCAGTTACTCACAGATCATGGGGACATTAATTTGCATGTATTGCCTTGGAGGCACATACAGTTGAGCACTCATAGAAAAAGTTTTTGAATAAACTGCAGAGAGAGGGCAGAATTGATGCTCTATAATGTCCTGACAGTATAGGATGACAAAGGTGATGCTTCTATGCAATCAATTCCCAATAAGCAAATACTGAACTAAGTTAGTGCTGGGATTTTGTTTGAAATAAGGAAAAAGTGCTGCAAAGAGTCATTATTTAGTGGCGGTCTCAGATACCACATGTGCTGATTCTTTCATGTTCCTGTCCGATAAAGGGTAAGTGGCTGACATGTGCATACACATTTGGCCAGTAGTGGAAATGGCATGTGGTGTCACCAACTGGGACCATCAAGTCCACTGCATCCCTCTTTTTGCATAGAGTTTTCTCCTAAAGGAAGAAGCACCTCAATGTTTCATCAATATAATATACAAAATCATGAAGTTTTTTTTGCTGATCCCACCTCTTACATGTTTCATCAAACAAATTCACCTATTAACAAACCATTCCCCTGATTAATTAGTGTGGCCCGCTTCCTTCCTAAATTCAGGGTTCAGAGGCATAAGATAAAGACAGGGTCAGGCTAATGAAATATACTAAGCCTTAATCAAATTTTAGTGTTAATTCATTTGCTAACTTATCTCCAGCTTGAGGAACAATAACTGTCATTCATCATCCCCATCATTATTACCATCCATAGCGACAAAAACAAACATTTGTGGTTCATTGAAAATATAGCGTTGTCGTTCCAACTCAGCAGAAGATAGTCCTTGGACATGTACTCATAACATTTCAAGTTAGACATCTGAATTCGATGTGTAGAAATATTGATGGGGAAAGATTTATCTACAGAAAGTTGAGAGCTGTTGCGCATCTGTGTGACTGTGTGAGCAGGTATTGTTAGAGGAAGATGAATGTACAGGAGTGTTTAGCTAGGGATTAAGGTTTGAGCATCTCTCACAATCTCCCTCTTTACATATGAGAGACTACCATGGGAAAAGGTCTGCCAAATCTAAATCTTCACCCACCAAGGACATCCTAAAGTCAGGGATGTTGGGAGAATCCTAAAGTATGACAGTGACTTATGCCTGAGTCTTAAAAGGTCTAGTACATTTGAGTTCCAGGCCAGCCTTTAGTAATGGTCTTTCATCAGGACCATCAATAATGGCCTTCTGCATCAAGAAAAATAACCACAGACATGATTCTCTACTAACCCTAATAAACACTGATGGTCCTTTCAGGCTTGTTTCTTGAAAATTGTTCTTATAAGCTCCTAATGAGGCCAACTCCTGAATTGAACTCCAAATCTGTTCGAAGGCCATTTCTTATGGGCTTCTGGATGCTTACTTTAAAAACTGAATGAAATTCAGCAGTTTTGGGCTCATGTAGCACACTAAGCAGAAGATGAGCAGTAACCCCTTTTAAGGCAGGATGGGTAGTTCTTCCATATGGTACATAGTGAGTTCACCAGCCATGGCAAAGTTGATTCTACAAAGTTGTGCCCTAGCATAACCAGAGCTCTGCAGAACCACAAGACCAAAGGGCCTGAGTTGATACACAGGTCAAATAAAGTCTTCCTCATCAATGCAACTTTAACAAAGCTTGTTGTGACTGACTGGTCATCCTAAGGAGGACATGATGGAATGTCTAAGGAAGCCTGAGTGAATAGAAAAGCAAATGCCCTTATTCAGATTTACATTATGTGCCATCATCTTTTCCAGCTCCAGAAAATCCTAGAAATGTCTCTTTGCAGGTGCTTTGATGTTCAAGGTTAGCCATATGGAAATTACTGTGTTTCGCTCATTCTTCCAGTAAATCTAAATCTGCACACAAATCCTGTGGTCATTGTCTGAAAACATTCATGACACAGGAATGCTGGTAAATCACACCCACCCACTTTCATTCTAAGGATACCCAAAGCTCCTTGCCTTTAAGAGTGCTGAGAAATAAGGCAAGAATAACATCAATGTAGCCCAGATCTACCCTGTTGGCTGGCTGGTTCAGAACCATGAAGCTGGGGAGAATTTGGGATAACTTGGCACCTGAGGTGGGGATGGAAAGGCAGAAGAGCACAACGGAATGTGAAGTCCTCAACGTTTTCTCAATTTTGCCAGTAGCTGCTGACAATGAAATGGCCCCTTGCCAAACATTTCCTCCTCTTCTCAGGTGGCACTGACCTGGGGCATACAAGTGCATAGAGTAATTCCTGAGTGTCTCAGCTCTCTCCCCATCCCTGGCTCTCAATGAAACTTCAGCTACTTACTTAATTCCCAGAATCAGTCAGGTGAGGTTAGAACTATTTGAATGTTAGTTTGTATTAAAATCTACTTTTTTACATAACTTGGGGTGGCAGAACCCAAAACATTGGTGGGTGGCATTTGGGATTATTCAATACCAACCTACCATGTTTCAAGTTTCTTTCTATTTGGTGACAGCTGTGTGACACTGCCTCCCAGATATAATCACCACCCAGAAAGCCATTCCTTAAACAGACTTGACACTGTTTGGCTTCTAGGTGAGGGATTTGGACACAGCAGGATGCTGCCAATCTCATTCAGGACCTTCTGAAGGAGCAGAGGTGAGATGCGGTCCCAGTGAGTCCCCTCCCCTTCCTTCTGTTAGATGGAGGAAGATGGTTTCCTGGACCCCTGTCTGTCATCAGGGCACCTACTGCAGAAAAAAACCCACTACACCCCCAGGAGGGGTCAAAAGAGCATTAAGGAGCTTGAGTCAGGAGCAGCCCCCTTCCAGGCTCTTCACACCTGAGCCGGCAGTTTCTGTCCCCTCACCCCCCACCTGAGAATGAGGTACCACACCAAGTGAAGAGGGACATGGAACACTTTTTAATGTCAAGTCAGAGACAACCCCCCTCCCTTAGCCCCCAATCCCACTTTCCCTCATCACATCCAGGACCCCTCCCCGAGGCCTCTCTGGTTCCCAGACTTCAGGGGAGGAAAAAAGTTTACCTAAAAACTGCATTTTCTTCTCTTTCATACACACGCACACGAAGGTGGGAAATTAAATAAAGTAAACCAAGAGGATTCAATTCTCCAGTGGTCCCAAAGGCATCAGAGATTCCCATAATGGGCTAAAGCAAGTGGTTATGGACTGTTTAGTTGGTTCAGTTGCTTGCTGTTTGTTAATGCCCGAGGCGTGATGGAGAAGCAGGCTGCCTGTCGTGGCCTTGGCCTCCGAGAGCCACACCTGGAAAAGATGCTGAGCCTGGTATTAGTGTTTGGCTTTTTCTTTTCACTTTTTATAAATGTCTCTGACATGTAAATAACCCAAGAAAATAAAAAGGCAGGAGCTGATTACACAATTACCAGTAAACTCTATCATCTTTTAGAAGATCAACACACAGCTAACGCCATATACAGCATGCAGTAATGTCTGAGCAAGGACCCTGCTGGGAAAGAAAATGGCTAGAACTCTAACAAAAAAAATATATGTATATATATACTGTATAATATATGTCATCAAAAGAAGCATAGCTAACAAACTCAAGATACAATGCGGCTCACCCTTCCATTTCTAAACAGCATGTAGAAGCATCGTATTGTCTGCATTAAATACCAGAATAAGGAGAAACCTGTAGCGCTGGTGGAGATGTTGGTTAAATTGTATGTGGTGGTTTTTGTGTGTGTGTGTTTTTTTTTTTTTTTTGGTGGATGTATGAAATCCTCACCGGGTGGTTAATGCCCGGTGCGTGGTCCACCAGTTGTAAACCTAGTTAAGAAATACACTACCACTACTTGTTGTTAATAATTGAACAAACATACTTCTCTTCACCCCTTTCAGTTGTGTATTTTTTAGTTGTGCCTTGTTTTTGCACTAAGTTCTAGACTCATATCAGAAAATATAATTAATAAAATTAATAATGAATCAGAATTCCTTATTATCCAGAATGTCCATGTAGTACAACAACAACAACAAAAAAGTTTAACACTATCTTTTGTGACTGTTGATTGTGGGATTGTTGTAGCTGGCAGGCTGTCTTGTTTTGTTTCCTTTTTCTTTATTTTATTTTTTTTTAATTTTGCTTTCATCACACATTATAGTGGCACAGTCTACAAAAGGGCCCGCAGCAGCCAGTCTGGGCCTGCTCAACACACTCTGTGCTCATCTCAGGAGACGGATTGAATTGGGGATGGCCGACTCCAGAATTTTCCTTGATGGGGGCACGTTAGTGGACAGAGTGGCTGAGCCCTCGCCCACTGGGCCACAGAGAGGTCACACAATGCAGCTTGCAGGCGGGTCCAAAGCCGGGCGCGCGTTCTTCCCACTTGGGAAAAGAAAGAAAACTCAGCTGTGCCTAAATATTTGCAAGGCCTGGACGGCGATTTTCGATTTCCTCTTACAACTTTTTTTCCCAAAGTATTCTTTGTTCCCCTCCCTCAAATTCGTGTCCCATTAGGCTCTGCTTCTCTGAATTGCATTTGATTATATCTTATTTAGAAACGGGAAAGCTCTTGCTGCTGTCAGAGTTGCCGGCGCTATTCTGTTGGTGGGTGCAGTGGCGGCAGCTTCTCCCCAGCGGGGCGGTGGCATTCACATCAAAACTGGAGAAGGAGGTGCAACACCAGAAGGGGTATCAGCCAAATGCAGCCTGCCCTCCTCGACGTCCCATTGTTCACTTCGCTGACGGCACCCGGGCCTGTGGGGAGAGCACATGTGTCATGAGCTGCCTGGTGTGACCGGGGACAGCACGCCTGGTCTGCTGTCGTGAAGCCTGCCTGTGATGAGATACCCCTCTAACTGGGAACGTTTGCTGTTCTGGCCCCACAGGTAGGGCTGCCTTAGAAATGCCTGCAGTTGCTTCAGCTGTGACCCCATGGATACACACTGTCTACTGGGGTGTCTTCCTTTGCAAGGAAAGAACAGGAGGCTCAGGTTAAAATGCACTGGTGGCTACTGCTCTTTTACTCTGTCATAAACATGCTAAGGTCACAGCTCAGGGTCGAGTTCAAGAAGAGGGTGGCAGATTCATTAATATCCTACATAGAACTTCAGTAACATAAGTCCCCTGTGATGTTTGCTCCATCATTCCCCCACTTCTGAGCACAGCCTGTCTTATGAGTTCTCCAGCTGCTCAACCTGGTGTTCAGGAAAAGACCTGTGGACACAATGGTCTGCCTCCCTGCTGCTACAGAGCACTCTGTGGCCATTCTGTCAATCACTCGATCTCAGAGCAGGGCACAGGGCTTCTGCCTGCAGCACTTGGCCTCTTCCCCATCTGGACAGGGCAACCACAGACACAGCTCAAATGTCACATGCCTGAAGGCCAAAATCAGCCACATGAAGTTGAAGTGGGAACAAGTAAAGAAAAGGTGGCCTTTTGCTGTGCATGGGGAAGCAGGGGTGATTTATGCGGACAAGAGGATGTAGACCCTGCCATAGCATGTCTGTGGGTAGGTGACGGATGGCATATTTCCCTAGGAAGCGCACACCAACCTGGCCATTCTTTCCAATGGTGCTAAATAAAGGAGGCATGAAAACTATGAGGTCATAAAATTCTCCAGCAGCTTCCCTATCATTCTGAAGCATAAGCTTTCTGGTTATCTCGGCCTTGTAGCCAAGAACACCCACAACAAATGGAGCTCTGATTCCTGAGTAGTATATGCAAGTTTGGATGCCTGCATGAATTAGGCAGCTAATAAACAGGGCACTTTCTCTGACTGGACTTGCTCGGCCACGCTCTGTTGCACTGGATTTAATGAAGGCATAAAGCTCAGTAGTTCTAAGTCCACACCCTCACCGGGCGTGAAGGAACAAAGGCAGAACTCACTCACCTGACTTTGGTGCAAGCACCAGAGACATATGCGGCTGGTGTGGAACAAAATCAAACCAGATGATTCCTTATGGGATGATTCATTCAAGCTCTAGAATCTTGGCTTGGGAGCACTGACCATAGGGTTTTACTGATTAGACCTTTGGGTCAAATTGCTGATTGGGGTCCAGTAGCTAAACAGTCATGAGTTGGAATTGCACCACATCACCCAATCTCATGTGCGTGGTGACTGGTTCACACTTTCCCCAAGGCCAGAACTCCTGGGCAGCGCAAGTGCTCATGCCAAGAGCCACAAGAGATACCCATTCTGCTCACCACTCTGCGGGGAGGTGAGCTTCTGGGTAACACAAAACTGAAGGCAGGCCTCTGCCATGACAGGCCCTCCTTCTCTCAGCCTATGGAAAGTCCAGGTGCTAGAGGTACATTCTTGAAATGTCCCTGATGGACTTGCATCTCCACTTGAGGCGCTTGTGGTTCCCATTGGTCACTAATTGTTAGTGTTGTCTACAATCAAATTAACAGGCTTCTATCTAAGCCACCACCAGGAACTCCCTCTTTATATTCAATTCCTGTTATCTATACAGTGTTTTTGGAATCCAATGGGAGCAACAGTGCTGAGCAGAGAGATTATGTTTCTCTCCTGTCAGGAAGACCCTCACTCTGGACCAGTCCGAGATCCTTCAGACCAAGCCCCTCTCCTGTGCCTGATGCTGACTCAAAGACACAAAGGTGGTTTCTGAGCAAGTCTTCAGAAGCCAGGCAGCATGTGACAGCTGGGCAGCGTTAGGGACTGCATCCCACCTCCCCCCACACGCTGCAGTGATTCTAAATGGGCACTGTCTCCTGGCATGCGGTGCTCCTTGCCAGATGACATCTCCTGGGGAATGGTACATTTTACCTTTTTTTTTTCCTCTTGAACACACACACACAGCTTTGAAATCTGCTCCCCATTCATCCTTATGCACCCTCTCCCCCACACCCAGTCCCTAACCCCATGGTTAAGAAGATGCGCTGATGTCGAAGAGAAGGGAAAAAATGCCAATTCCCTGCATGCAGAGGGTTTTTGCTTCCCTCTGCCTTCCCCCGTTTCAGACTGACCACCCAGTGGATCCTCTAGGTTAGAGACGGGAGCATACCACAAGCCAGGCATACAGCCCAGCAGGGGCCTGGTTTGGTTGCCATGGAAGGAAAGTCGGAAAACCTTGTTTGCAGTCCAGGGGCTCTGCAGCGCTACAAGGGAGCGGCTGTGAGCTGGCAAAGAACCTGCTTCATGTCACAATGGTGGCATCTCTGCAGGAGTCCTCTGTGGGCACCTGTTCCTTCTCATTGCTAAGCCCCTCGGATTCCTTTGTGGCTCTTTTCCCCGCTGGGAAGTGCCACAGAGAGCCTATAGGGAAGGGTCCTGACCAGTTGTGTCGGAAAACTCTTTCTACAGAACAAAGTAAAGGTTGCCTGGCACACCAGGACCTCCTCTTGCCAGTGTTGAAACTCTGGACAACCTCGGTGTCCTGTCCCAGGCCCACAGGGCTGGCACTCATGTCTGAGGCTACATACAGCCTCCACACTCACCTGCACTTCATCCATCTTTCCATGTCCAGGAAACCTGGCCTGGACAGAACTAGACAGGAGGCAGAGGAGGCAGGGAAGTCCTGCAGAAGTTGGAGGCATGCACACTCCACCCTCCTTCTCAAGGAAGACAGTGCATCGGCCCTCCTTCCAATTCCAAAGTGTACCTATTGAACCTTCCCATCTGAGGCCTTGGCCCCCTCCAGTTTATTATTATTTTAAAGATTTATTTATTCATGCATACAAGACCTGGGGTACAGGCCAGAGGTGTGGGAGGGTGAGAGGATTCACCAGAGACAGGGGGGGAACAGAACAGGCAGATGGACTGAAAACACTGCTGAGGGGAGCAGTGGGAGAGACAGGAGAGGTCTGCCGCACAATGTGGGTAGCTCCCTGGCTGGCTGGGGATTGAACCTGTGCTGCAGAAGCTGTGGACAGCTTCACAGCACTGTGCTCAACACCCTGCACCACCAGGGAGGCTCCTCCAGTTTATTCTTTATGCTAATCCCAGGCTGATGTTTCTACCATTGCAAATTGATCAAGCAACTAACTTATTTGATTCCTGAAGTCTTATCAAAATTTGATGGCAGAACACTCACTACATTTCATAATCTGCTGGCTATCTTGTCCCTTAGCCACTCTCCCTGCCATGTGCTCTTTGCCTTCTCCCTGCCCCCAACTCCAAGCACAGGTGTTGAAACACACACACACCACAACACACACAGTCTATGCCCCTCTGCCTAAAAACAGCCTTCACCGAACTCACTCTTACTCTTTGTTCCAGGTTCTGGTCCAGCCTTCAGTCACCTCCTCCAGGCAGCCTTCCTTGAAACCCTGCAGTGTGTTTCCACAGCATGGTGTGTATCCTACTATTAACCTCCATGCCACTCTGTGTTATAATCTTTTTTGTTCCTCTAACATGTGCTTAGCTTGCCCATGTCAAATATTTAATAAACATTTTTTAGCAGGAAGGAGCCAGAAAAACTGTGACATGTGCTGAGATGCACATATTTCCTTTGTCTCCAGGTTTTCTTACTTTTCTGATTCCACTAGGAGAAAAATAAAAGCAATGGAATAAAAACCTCTTTTCTTACCTTGTTGTCTGCTTTACTGCAAGATTATTGGCCTTTTTCTATTTCCAATAAAACTGAATGACATTTTCTCTCTTTTTCTAACCATTTCCAGTGAACATCCCTGAGAATTTCTGTGGTTGAGGGAATGTATATGCAGGGGTAGAATTGCCTGGATGAGGAAGTGGGGCAGCGTGCTGCAGGGGAAGGTGTACCAGGGCCATGAAGACACGTGTACATGAGAGGAGGGTAATTATCTCCTGCTCTAACATGTACAAACTCAACCGTAGGGAACTTAGATGGCATTCCTAAGATTGCTCGACTTTTTTCTCCAAAAGTGATTTTCTTTCCACTAACACAGAGAGCAGCTTTGTGTAACCCGTGCATCTTCAGACAGTGAGGCCCTATCCCTGCCCCACTTGGGCACCTGGGAAGGTGTGGAGCCACACCTGCCGTCCACACCAGCCAGCATGTGGCAGGATGCCAGGAGAGGAAGACGAGGACCTTCAACCAGGTTCGCTGCATCAGGGATCGAGGCCTCTGGCAGCCTGTGCTGGTCACATGATAGCTCAGCTCATGTGCCCGGTGGCCCCAGCCACACAGATGAGACCTCTGTTCTACATGCAGCCCCAGTGCCTCTCCACATTGACTGTATTTGCTGCCTCTATCTCAGTAGAGAGCTGTGGAGTCTACGTGACTGATTACCAGGACTAGGGGTCCCCGAGAACCGCGAAGAGTGTCAGTTACCTATTGGAAACATCTGGCAGGGATGAAAGCCTTAAATAAGACACATTTTATTTGTGGCCAAGTGACTCACCAAGATCCTCCCCCTTCCTTCCATTTTCCCCTCCCATCCACCACTTTCCTTCCAGCTCCACGTCAGAGAGAGAAAGCGAGAACAGGATAAGCAAAGGGCAGCATGCAAGGCCAAGGTCTAAGAAGATCGTCACATTAAAGCTTCCATGTGCAAGGAAAAAGGCAGGTCTGGTGCAGAGGAGCCCAGATACAGGAGCTATTCTGGGCACTGACAGGTGCTCATTAGTGCTGCCAGCTAAGAGAAGTTAGACTTCCGCTAGTGCAAGCTACCCGGGAGAGCAGGGTGTCTCCAGGGACCCGTTAATCTAAATTGACACCAGCCAGCCCAAGGTCAGGGAAGATTCCCACTGGGCTGTTTCCTGGGGTTAGCTCAGAAGAGAAGGCATCTTGAAGAAGGCAAAGAGTTTTACCTACCCCATCCCCACCCAGGCAGCAGCTGCCTGGAAGACAGATATACCAACCTTTCCAAGGGGTCAGAGCTGTAGTTTTCACTTCTAAAAGAAATTAAAAACAAGCCACTGTTAAGGTAGAAAGTAGTTGGGGGACTCAATTTGCTCTCAGCGGGTTTGGGACACTAGCTGGCGCTCCAGGCCCAGGCCTTCCTAGCCTACTGGTGCCTGCCCACAGCCCAGCCCTCAGTCCTCCACTTCTCTGGGAAGTCAGCTGCCTAAGGTTGGGCTGGGAAGGTTACAAAGGATGTATCACTGCCCAGAAGAGAGGCACTATGTCCATCTGGTCTTAGCAGGGGACCCGGGACTCTTTTGAGCCTGAGACCCCAAGCTGATGAATGTTTCTTGGTAGACCAACAGATTTTGGCCATCAAAGTCTTTAAGCCTTGAGTATAAAATTAGCCAATACAAGTGAATGACACTATGACAAATGGAATACTGGTGTCTACGCTACATTAAAGATGTCGCAAGTTTGGTCAGATGGTGAGTTGCTCTGGGCACTTCAGAAATGCTGGTGAGGGAGCTTGCATGAGCCTGAGGACTTCTGGCTTCTGCAGGGGAGTCAAATGAGAGCCAGTGGGACAGACTGTGTCATCAATCTGGGGCAACCTGGTGCGGTGAGCTCTGCATCCGTTGCACTTGCACTTCCTGAGACCCCTTGTATAAATAATGGGATGCCTGGTCTTCCCTGCTGACTGCACCACAAAAATCCCATCTCACCCATTCTCAGAGGAAACCACAGAGCTGTTTCTACTGACAGCAGCTATCTCGACTGGCCTGAACAGTGACGAGCTCCAGTCTTTTACTTCCCTCTATAGCTAGCAGTCTCTGGTGTTGTTCACTCTGGGTATAGAGAGGATGGAGCATCCTTTCACAACATAAGCATATATCAAATCACCACGATGTACACTTTAAATATCATACAATTTTATTTATAAATTATACCTCAATATAGCTGGCAAAAAGAAAATGATATTAAGGTCTTCTGCATCGAAGTGATACCTTCTGCAAAGGTTCTCATCTAGAAAGGGAAGACAATCTAGATATAACTCAACCTACACTCAACTAAAACATTTGACCACAATCAATGTTGAATATATCCTTGTGCATTCAAGTTCTCAATCTGTCTTTACAGGTGCCCGAGACATGATCTACCTCTTGATTTAAGTGGGCATTAGCTATGCTGAGAAGTCATTCTGAATATATAAAGATGTATGGTATGATCTAGGATTTTGCAACTCAGAGAAGATCCAATTTAAAGCCAGCATAGGAGAGAAAGTCAAGAGTGACATTGCCATGTTGTGTGTGCATTTGGCAAGGACAGTTCCTTGGAGCATTTTCTGGCCCCAAAAGTCACCCCAGAAGCTAAGATGGTGCTATTTTCATGAATTGCCTCATTTAACACCACTGAAGTGTGTCTGTCCCAAGGAGAGTGACTGGAAGAAGGAAGGACAGTCTGAAGAGAGACTCTGACGGATAAAGCAGTCATAGCCATTCGCCCCAAACCACAAGGAGTGCAGGTGTGGGATACATCTGTGGGGTGGGAGCCCATAAAATGAAGGGGTTGCTGCTTTCAACTCTGCTGGAGAAGGACGCAGGGAGGATTAGATTTGATTGTTTAGCTGGTTTGAACTATCAGAAAGAGAAATATATTGAAAGTACAGTATGCTAGATAACTGAGTGATTTTCATGAATCAAAGATCTGAAAACAAAGTGGGCTTCATTGTTCCAATCCAGCTATTTTTCCCAGAACCTCCAACAGGTTACTCAAAACAAGGTCAACACTCTTTAGCATCTACACAAATAAAGGATTCTGACTCTCATCCTTAACCTCTGTTAGAACTTACCCTTGGATTTTCTAGGTAGAAATGTTTCAACTCTTCTAGTACTAGAATGTCCTCTACCCTTGCTTATATCTCACCACAGTGTGGGGGGGCAGGAAATTGGGGGGTAATTTGCAAAGATATTCTTCATCTTCACTCTGCTAGATGCCCACGCTGCACCCAGCCCACCCGCTTGGATTCGTGAAAAGCTAACACTGCCATCTATGTCATGCTTGATGGATTTTCACTGTTGAATCTAGTTCCTAGAAGTATAAGCCTTGTGATTCTGCCTCCAAAAGGAGACCTCACCAGATGCACAAGTTCAAGTTAATTCTTGGCTATTGAGCAGGCAAACAATCCTTCAAAATCCAGGCATGTATTTGCCTCAGCTAATGCTTGATGGGATGTGTGATCTATCTGTTTAAATATTAATGAGATGATAGGCAGAGTGGGGGAAAAAAATCACAACAAATAAAGAAAAGTGCAAGAAAAAAGAATCCCTCTCCCCAAGTCTCCAATCAATATCTGTGGTCAGTTCATAAATTGATCTTTAGGCCACCCATGTCCACACTTGCAGTTGCATTCCAAGCATGGATGTAATCACAGGGCTGCTGAGTCTTGTGAGCAGAAAAGGACTGGTTTAACATTAGGATGGCTATGCTCTCAAAATCTTTCTAGAAAGAGGATGAGAAAATTTACTTTCTTCCTTTTTTACATCTTCTGTACTTAGACACATGTGCCATAGAAATAGTAACTGCCAGGTGGCTGGGCCTAATTAACGACCTTTAGTCCTCTGCAGGGAAGAACTGATCATCTCTCCTACTGCAATTTTTTTTCCCTTCTGATAAAGAGTTTACTTTAGTCTCCCATTCTTTAATAAGTTGGTTTGATGGTCACTGTGAGGTTCACAGACATTAATCAGCCAACCTTTCCCAGCCCACTGATACCATTGAATCTGACTTCATGCCTTAGAGATAAAGGACAAAGAACCCATGGATGGGAAATGAACAGCCACTGAAGACGCTGAGCTTGCAGTGTAGGTCCCTGCATGCCTGTGAAGGATGGGGGCACATTGCGGAGCCTTTATTTATCATGGCACGAGTCGGGCATCACCAAATATTAATACGAGAGTGTGACATGCAATCCACTATCTGTTGTGTTTGCAAAAGGGGAACAGAGAAATACTTCAAGGGTGGCAGAAAATGCTGAGGAGGAATGAAATTCTCTTATCAGAATCTTTCTAGTCCATCTAGATATTGGGTAGCAAAATAACTTTGAACTTCTCTTAAAGCCAAGTGTTTCCTGTCCATAGAAAGTCATGCATTCCTATAAATCTTGCTTGGTATCGCTAAGATAACATGAGCATAAATTGGGGTATTCCCTGAGAAAACAGGTTGCTCTCCATTCATTTGGAAATTTGCAAAGGTGGAGGTAAAAGCAAAAAAATGATGTGGAAAAATGAGGGCAATGTTTCCCTAAGTGCAAAGTCTGTTTTCTCTAAAATGTTCCTTAGTTGTAGGAAAGAGTCTAGTAGATGCACCAAAGACACACTAATCAAATTTGGGGAGATGTCTAAAGTCTACAGCCTAGGCACTGACAGCCTAGGTCCAGATGTCTAAAGTCTACAGCCTAGGTACTAACCAGTTGCCCTTCCACTCAACCAAAGGGGTTGAGATGAGAGCATCTTGAGAATCGGCATCGGAAGTTGGCATAGAGCAACTTTCACTCAAGTTCATAGTAAACAGCAGTAGGAAGGGAAGTGGCAGCTTTGGCTCAGCAGGCAGAGACGGGCAACATCACCTTTCACTCCTGGGCCTCTGCTCAGGGCCAGCTGGTGAGGATTTTTTTCTGATGGTTTTGTTGTTGACTTTGGGTGGGACAATGCTCAGGTGAGCTAAATACTCATGGAGTTCAGTTAAATACTAACTGCTTAGCTACCACTACCATTTTTAAAGCTCCTATTTCCTCTGAGAAAGAAGATCTAAGTGACCAGAATGTGCTTCATCACTTCTGGAAGCACATCCTAAAGTATCATCTATCTTAGCTCCAGTCTCTCACACTTCACTTTTACCATTTTTTAGCTACTTTTCTAATGCTTTCTATTTTAGATCTGTGAACATGCCTCGCACTGGGGTTCAATAAACCTCAGTTGAATCATAAGATGAACCTGAATGCAGCCATTGACTGCACTTTCCCCCTTGATTTCTTTGTTTCGTTTTCCTGTGTGTGGCTTATCACCATGGTGCTCTGCATCACCAAGGTGAATAATGCAGTCCTGCATCCTTTCATGATGAAAGTATTTTTCCTGCTCTGTCAAATAGCTTCCCATATAACTCATTCCTTTCATCTTCTTCAAGTCTCACGCCATCCTCCAATGATTATTTGCTTAGCCAGATGGGAATGGATGAACAGGATGGTGGTAGGGTGAGTGGGATGAGAAGGGTCAGGGATTGGGGTGGAAGGCAGGCAAAGCCATTCCTCTCATTGTCTTCAGAGCTGCCTTCCTGCTGGGCTGTCCTGTGGTCAGTACTACCTTACAGGATAAAACTAGGACATGCAGGCTCTTCTTTTATTCTACCACTTGGCCTGGACCCACTTCTTTCTAAATGCGTAATCAAGGTCTTAAATCTCTCATGCTCAGTGAGAGGGCCTGGAGACAATTGAAGGCCTGTGCAAATGGAGGCAAGAAATGCAGGAGTCACATATGGGGAGGGCTTGGAGGGGAAGGGGCTGCAGAGAAGAGGTCAGAAATGAATTAATGAGTCTCTGTGATGTTATACTAATGGATGTTCTTTCAGTTTACAAAATGATTCAAACTTTTACATAAGCATTCTCAGTTGAATGTTGGAAAAACCGTAAGGAAGAAAAGGCAGATAGTTATGTTTTATGGAGGAGAAAACTGAGTTAAATAAAGTTTGGTGATTTGTCCAAGAGCACAGACTACTCCATGCCAGGCTCTGAACTAGACCTTGGTGGCACCACGCTCCAGGAGACAGCTTAGTAACTATGGTGTGCCATGCTCTACCCACCTCCCCTGCAGAAACTGCGTGTGAGCCAGCAGATGTACCTTGTGCTTGCTTCTATTGCTGAAGGGACTTATCGACAGGACTCTTGATCTGAAAACTTCCCACTAGTTCAGACTCTGTCAACCTTTTGTCTTCACACAGATTTCTGGGCTGTGAGATGCTCGTGTCTCTATTTATTTTTCCCTCCCATCCCTTACAGGGAGTGTGGGTGGCAGAGTGGAGAAAAGAGAGCTATCCTTATAATTTCACCAGTTCCCAGTCATATCTACTGCCATCCTCTGGGCAACTTTATTTATTTTTTTTCTTTTTTCTTTTTTTTTATTATTATTTTTTTAATTTTAATTTTTTTTTATTTTTATATTCCCCAAGCAATTGCAACCCCTTTATTTTGAACCCAATCCCTGCCCCCCACCCCCCTCCCCTCATAAAGTGTCTCTGGTTCATAGTTGTTTCTTGATTATGATTTTCACTTTCTTCTAGATATTCATTTTCCTGGTCCCTTATTTAAGTTTTCTAGATTCTCTGGGCAACTTTAAAGTAGGAGCCTCAGGTAATGCACAAGGAGGAAAGGGATTGGGGGAGAGGGAGATGCTGGGAGCCAGGGAGGGGAAAAACATAAAGCAAGGGGGATACTGACCTTGCAACAAAGTTGAGCTTGTAGGCTCATTTAGTTCTAAATCGGGTGAGGGACATACAGGAGAGAAAACATGAAAACAAACACATATATTATATACAGTAGCTATATATTTGTCATATATAGTTTGTATAATGCCTTTCACAAACATTTCTGGAGGAATGGATAAATAAAGACACAAAACCAAAGGTGGCAAGACAAGATGCAGCATGAGAAACACTAGAAGCTTGATGTTTCCATGCCTGGGAGCGATGGTGGGGAAGTGAGCTGACCACTGGTGCACTCCCCAGAGCAGGTGGATTAACTCTCAGCTCTTGCTAGGCTGGGATACTGACTTGGCAAGGAAGGACCAAGCTCCCTTTCCAGATGAGATTTCTGCCCCATATCCTCAACCCCACGGTTTCATTTGGGAGACCAAATTCAGAACCTCTTAACCCATGGTGCCACAATAGGCACCAGGTCTTCCAGGGAGCCACCATGGTTCTGGACTGTGGCAGCAGTATTTTCTGAGTCCCCTGAAACCTTTGAAGTCTTAGGGATCAGATGCCCAGAACTCTGTTTCTTCTTCTTTTATTATTATTTTTTTATTTTGTACATTTTTACATCATTTTTTCATTTTTGCACAATGTATGCATTTTCATCTTGGTTATAGTCTGCTTCTTCTTGATAGGGGGCCACCCCAGCTGGTTTATGTACCCTCAATAACAGTGACCACACAGGGGCAGCCATCCAGGGCCAGGTGTTGGTGTTCATGTCAAGTGGAGATGGTGCACGTCAATGTGTGAATTGGTGGGAAGATGATGATAATTTAGCTGGATTTCTGTGCTGCTCTCAGGGAATGACTTCATAACAAAATTTGCATACTCACATGAAGGTTGTTTTCTAACCTGCACATGGCCCTAGTCAAGAGGTCTTTTGAGGATGAGAAATTACACGAATCACTCTTCTCATAAATGTGTGTCACCTTAGTGATGGTGAACTTCACTCAATTAGGAGTTTAGAGGATGTGATGATGCTTGGCCTAGTCGAGGCTACAGTCGAAAAGATTAACGCCCATCTTATATATTAATGGGATTTCACTAGCTCCATGGAATCATGTCATGCGTGAGGCATTTCTGTGATGGCACGCCTTCAAAATGACCTCTCAACTGAGGCTACAGTATCGGTTTCTGTTTGGTTACATTTGGAAAATGTTACAAGCTTTTTCTCCCTTTTAGAGTCTTAGCATGATGTAAAGTCTTTGGATGTGCTGTGTTGGTAAAGAACACCCCTGTGAGCGCAATCATCTTTGTTTGACCCAGACTCTCTAAACTTGTTTGAATACACACTATCACTTTTTAATATAATTTTTAAAGAGCACTGGACTCAAGAAAGACGGCAATTGCAGGAATATCCCAAATGAAGCACAGGGGGAAGGCCGATGTGGAGGCAGAGGTTTTAATTGCCACACATGGGTCTGCTGAAAAGAGATCTATGCCACATGCTTCACTGCCTTCCTTGTCACAAAAGTCAGCTATTTTGCTCTTAAAGTTTACTTTGTCTCCCTATTCTCATCTTAAGATGGCTTAAAGAGATGAGGCCAGGGAATTAGACTGAAGTGATAAAGCCAAGAGCAAAACCATTTCACGCATCCCAATCAGAGAGCAAGGAGGTTAAAGGGAGAAGCAGACTGTTTATAAGAATGAGGACTGCTGGGGTAGAGAGCAGGGCTGGGAGGGGTGGGGTGGGGGAGCCATGGGGAGCCTTGCATTTGCAAGGCACGAGAAGGAGGGGTCCGTTTCTTTCTAATCCTGGCCCTTCTGTTCCTACAGACAGACACCTGCCAAAAAGCCAAAAAGGCCTGACAAATGTGAGGGGCAATTATGACTATCCCTCTGTGAGAGATGTCAGACAGATCCATCACTCTAATCACAGCTTTGCCCATTCTGAGCTACCAGCTCTGGGATCAAGGGCAGCCTGCATCTCCCCAGCCCTCTTGGATAAAGCAGGGCTTTATTTATGTTCTGGGTAGAAGGTGGACAGAATGTGATTTGAAAGCAGAGCTGGGTCAATGGAGCAGCCAAGGTGTGCTCTTCTGGGCAAGCACAGTCCTGCCATGGAATGGGTAGTGCAGGGGCAGAGGGCACAGGACTTGGAGCCATGGGACTAGCTAAAAGTTCTCAGAAGAAAAGGAATGTACGCTTTTGCCAATTATCTGCTAGTGCCCTCACCTTTCCCTCACCGCACACAGGAGTGCTTGTTAAATTGGGGGGCTGGGGACTCCACCTGAAAAATCCCAAGAATGTGTTGGGGTAAGGAGGGTTGCCTCATAAGCAACTGGGGCTTAAGGTGTGACTTGTGGGGAGAATCTGCATCTAAGGAGCAATGAAGCTGTCACTGCACTACCAGAGTCCTGCCCATTGATACACGTGTGCACCCGGCTCAGCACCAGGGTGCAGAGCCACCCCAGTCCCCCACAGAGCTGGCATATTTGCTTCCTTCACTTGATTTAACTGCCAGTCTAGTTACCAGTTAGGGATTGAAAGCAGAGCGATTCGCCTCACACACACTTGTCTTTCAATAGTTGTTTAATGAATTAATGTATGAATGACTGTGTGATTCTGTCAGGATGGCGGGCTCTTGGCTGGACAAATGTCTTAATCCAGCCAGACAACACCCTTTGACACAAATGATGACACAGGGAGCCCCCCACTTTCTAGGTCAACCCCACTTCTGAGCCTAATATTTCCTTTGGTAAGCATAAACCAGTTTCTCTTAGGTCCCACTGGCTGGAAACAGTTTCAGAAATAGTAACATCATGCACTAATTCAGTGAACAAAGTGTTAAAATAGTAAAGGGGCTCTTTACTATTATACCCAGTTAGAATCCCCATGGTCAGTTTAATAGCTATCACTGAGGAGAAAAAATGAAAAATCATTTCCACCTCCCAAAGTCCTTTTCTCCCGTTTCAGGATTTTACCCATTATAGAATGAAAGTTGAACATTGTTCTCATTGCCCTGCTATCCACTTTTATACATGGACAAGGCCAGCCCCCTACCTCCTCTCCCAGCTTTCTTGCTCCTCTCACTCACCCCCGCCTCATTGGTCCTGAGTCTCCTCTGTGAGTGCCTCCTCCACAGACAACCCCTCCCCTTTCTCTGCCCAGCTCCAGGCTCAGTCTTACCAAAGAGTGTGATGCTGGCATTTGTGTGGCCCAGCTTGTTGGAGGCCACACAAGTGTAGTTTCCATAGTCATGTTCAGAGACATTGAAGAAGATGAGTTTTGAGAGGAAAGGCCTGTTTTCCACTTTGACGCCCTTCTTTCCTTCTACCAGTCTGAGAGAAACAAGAGAGAGGCAGAAAAGGAGAAGAAAGACAGTGGTTAGATTAATCTCATAGGAAGAAGTCAGACTTTGGAATGAATGGTCTCTTCACAGCCACCTTTCTGACATCATTATAATCACCATTTTTGCTACTCAACTACACAGTAAGTTTGCACACCATGACACACAGAATTGTATTTCCCTACGGTTATGGATGTGCCTAGAGCCATGCCTGGCACTACACAGACATCCACCTTCCTATACAGATATTTAAGTTCTCTGAAAGCAGTTGCCTTCAACAAATGTGATGGACCAGCTGTGTGATGTTCAAAACAATATTATTTGCACAGTAGGTGCTCAAAATTGTGGACTTAATTGGCATTGATGATGGTGATATGAAGATGGTGATGGTGATGATGATAACAACCATGGCAACGAAAAGCTCACTCTTCAGAGAGAAGAAGAACATGAGGGGGTTGAAAAAACAATGTTTTTCAAGCACCTGGGTAATCAAATTTTCCCTTAGGAACTTGAGGCATTTTGCGGTAATACCTTACTCTTGCTCTGAATAGGAGAAAAGAACCAGGGATTGTTTTGCTTTATACTGGGGACTCTGATGGGCTTAGGAGAGAAGACTCAGCCAGCATGCCCTTCTGGAGGAGGTTATAGGTGCCAAAGACTATGACCCCTTAGATTCAAGACAGTGTCCGGAGTGACCCCACATGCCACAGGTGTTCATATTGGTGTGAGGGGCTACCAAATAAATACTACAGAGAGTGGGGGAAACTGTCAGACAAACACAAGGCCTGTGGGTTCCATTACACATGTACAAAATAAGCAGAGAGTTGCTCTCGGGGCTGGTGGGACCATTCCCTGTATCTTAGGAGGTTGTTAGCAGCGACTCCTATTACAATTGCATGTATCGGAATTATGTGCCCAACTCTTTCCCTTTTAGACACCCTGGAATGCTCTGTTTCAGAGAACGGGCTTTAAGCCAATCTCTTTTACGTTCCCTGAAACGATCTGCCTTCCTTGCTCAGAAGATGAGTCTGTGCTACAAGAAGGAGAAGAGCTAGTGTGGGCAATTGTCCTGAATGGAGGATCCCAGGGTCACAGACCTCAGCTGCCTCACGATCACCTGGCTGGAGCTGGATGCACCGAAAATCAACAACGTTAAGGTGGACACATAATACAATGTGCGCTGGAACAAGCGGCTGGTATCCTAGTCATCAAATTGAGAAAGGAAATTCTCAGGCAGAAACTGAAAGTGAAGCCCAGCAGGACAATGATGAGAAAATGCTTTATGAACTATAAAGTCTTACTTGATATGATGTGACTGTATGGAGAGAGATGTTGAGAACGTGACCTGCCCCTGGGTCACAGTGCACTTTAGTCCAGAGGGCAGCTGCTGTGTCAATATTTGAAGGTGTTGTCTCCGCAGGAGTCAGAAAGGCCCTCCTTGCCACCAAAACTTACGCAAGCCATGATCCAAAGAGAAAGTCAGCCTCTGCCTTCCAGTCTCACGCAACATCTGTCTTCAGGGACATTAGAAGGTTATTTGGAGGAACTGAACTTGCTTTTTCATTATGTAGCTTTTCCTCTGGGAGCCTCCTTCCTCCTTAGCTAGGGGCAGTGAACTGGCCTGAGTCCATGAACTTCATTAAAATGAGCGCGCTGTCCTTAAGGAAGGAGGTGCCCGGCTGTGTGACCAAATGCCACCTTTATACTTCCAACTTGCTTTGCAGATATTGATGCTTTAGGGGGTGCTGCCCAAAGAAGACACCCCCACCCACCCAGCAGGAGGCTTCCTACCAAGAGCCCCTCCAGCGTATTGATGCCAGTTGCCATCGTGACGCCATTCCCAAGCAGGGGAGGAAGCCTTCACATGTGAACCAAGCTGTGAATTAGATTTCAGCTCGGCAGTGGAAAGAGACACTTAGTGAAGCAGGTTCCTGTTTGGCAGCTCTGAAATGTCTTTAGCTAAAAGGAGTGTAGGGTGGCCAGCGGCACTTTGCAGCACTTTGCAGCTTCTGGGACGACACACTTGCCTTTTCTCCATGTGGTCACACATTTCCTCACTCCATACTGCTGGGACTTCAGCTTCTTAATGAAGCTCAAGGCTTTTCCTTGGCCCCTGTCCCCAAGGAGTGTGGCCCTGGTTAAGTAAAGGCTCCCATGCTCTCTCCTTTGATTGACACACACATAGTGAACTACAGCTGAATGGTGCTAGAACTTTGTCAAAGAGACCTCTGCTGAATTTGGAGAAAACTGCCTGTCCCATCACAGACTTCTTCATTTGGGTCAGATTTCTTCTCATCTCACCTGGAAGGCGAACTGTCTGGGAGCTGATGTCCCCCCACGCAGATGCAATATACCCTCTCAGACCTGCTGGACGGAGGTTTCCCGCCAGCCTCTGTGGCACAGGATGGCTGGGTGGCCACCAGGACCTCAGGGCAGTAGTGACCCTGGAGTAGTGACAAGGCACGCAACACCACTCACAGGAGACACGTAAAATAAATACATGAGCAGCAAATGGAGAACTGATCAGGTGATCACATCAGAGAAAGAGTCTCCATGAGAAGAACTCAGATGAAGAAGAAACTCCCAAATGCCCGAGTCATGGCCTCTGCAGACCCTCCTGGATAACTAATGGTGGGGTGCAGCCGGAACACTCAGTGTCCTGGCAAGGCTGTGCTCTCTTCTTGTTCACATCACCGCCTTTTTTGTGCACATAGTTTTTTCTACTTTGCCCCACATATTCTAAGATCTCACCTCCTTTATATTCCCTTTCATTTTTCTCCCATAAAGAATCAGAAGGATAGGATACTGATTAATTTTCACAAATACTTGGACAGTTAAAGTTTCAGGAACTGACATTGCAGCTCAATTGTGTGTGTGTGTGTGTGTGTTCTGATATTGGGGTCTCAAGCCTTAGTTTTTATCTAATATAATAAGAAGAGAGGAAGGGACATTTTAAAGAAATGTCACATCTTAAAAAAGAGAGCCAGGCTTATCTGTAAGGACAGTAAAGCTTCCTTTTGTTTGATTCTGAGTTCTTGGGGGAAGAAAGGGAAAGACAGATTTTTTTTTTTTAATTTCTTTATGGGTTTGCACCTCATTTTTCTGCCTTCATTTTATCATCTATAAAATGGGCTACATGAACACAATGCACCTCACTAAGATGCTGTCAAGGATATATGTGAGGGCCTCCTTGGTGGTCTAGGAGTTAAGTCTCAGTGCCATCACTGTGAAGGCCCAAGTTAGATCCTTGGCCAGGGAGCTACCCACATGGCACAGCAGACCTCTCCTGACTCAACCACTGCTTCCCTCAGCAGTGTATTTCATTCAGTCTGCCTGTTCTGCTCCCCACTCTGTCTCTGGTGAATCCTCTCAACCCCCACACCTCTGGCCTGTACCCCAGTTCTTCTAAGCAAAATAAATAAATATAAAAATAAAAATGTACTTAAGAGTGAGAAATTGCTGCTTCTCATTTGGGAGAATTCTGAGGAGACACAATGAATCTTAGGATGAAATGACTTGGTTCTAAACAAAATTAGTGATTGATTTGAGATAAGACAAGTTTTGATGACTTGACTGACCTCATAAAGAAAAAATCCTAAAGAACACCTAAGCTACTCTAAGCAGAAGGGGCACTAGTGGGGTCACCCCTGGGGCTCCTCACACTCCTCTCCTGTCTGTACCCTCTTAGCTCCTTTCCTTTCCCAGCCTCTCCTCCTCCATCATGCCTCCCCACTCTCCAGCCCACAGACCTCAGGTCTCGCGGGCATTCCCCCCAAACCATTTTTATGAAAGTGTTCTGAACACAGACAGCTCTTGCTCATTTCTTTGTTGTTCACCCACCTTAAAATAGCTCTTTGATAACAGTAATTGTCATGTTGCCTGACTGTACCGTGCTGCTGAACCCTGTGCTGACGAGCCATTTGGTAACTCCTCGCAATGACGATCTGCAGTGAATCACAACAAATACCCCGGCGGTGGCTGCAATAATGAGAGGAAAGGGAAGAGTCCCTTTCTCTTTTCTCCTACAGAGAAAGAACAACCTGGGCACAAAGGAGGGCTCGACTGGGTCACCGACTCTTTTCTACACCACCACTGATTGTGTCTAGAACTGAAGTGCAGACAGACGGGCTAGCTCCAGCTAACTTGTTAGCCACTGCCAGCGCCCGTGAGCATCCCTGACGCCTTAATGCAAGCCTGAGAATGTGTTAAAAATAGCGTCAGGCAGAACACACTATTTTCTTGACCTAGAAAAAATTCACAGGCCTTACAATGTTCGTGGAGGCCTTACCATGGAGATTTTGCCTTTCTGAAAAAATGTTTTCTCTCAGGTCTGTGTTTGTCAAGTGGTAATACTGAATAGCAATGTTCACAACAAAGCTGAAAGGCATTAATATTAAGAAAGAACTAATTTGCCCATTATTTGTCTCAAGATAGAGGAGAAATTCCGAAGAGGATTTTACAGGGATTCATTTGCAACCATCTAGAATCAAGAAAAACTCTTCTTTTTTTTTTGGGGGGGGGGTTGGTGGGGAGAGGGGAAGAGGGGCCTTTACCTTTTGTCATCCTTGTACCAATGGAATTCTGCAGAGGGAACTGCTGAGGCTTCACACTGCAGTGTTCCCTTCTGTCCCACAGGGACACCTGTACCCTTAGCTTCTGAAATGTATGGTGGATCTGTAGAGAGAAAATATTCGGTAGCAATTTAAAATGCATTCTAGAAGAAGACAGGCTGCCTCCTTCACTGATTTTGTTTTCCTCTCCTTGATGCACCTCTGCTTACTTGATCTGACAAATTGCTATACAAATTGTGCCAGAGAATAAAGGCATTCAACATTGTTCTAAGGAAAAGCTCGGTCTTCCTAGTGTTTATTGCTTCTGTTCTCCACTGTGCAGAGCTGGAATGGCCAGGCATTCAAGCATATTTCCTGTTTAAACTTTTTAACTTTCATAGGAGGATGCCAAGTCATCAACCCTACACCCCATATGTTGACAGGCAGCACCTTTAATCAGCCTTATAGAATTTCTGCACACTACTTCTTGCCAGAGTATATAACCTCGAACTATTCAATTCCCATCAAAAGCTCAATTGCAAGAAATAATATTCATGGAGAATTGCCTGAAGGATATACAGATCAGTCATTCTTCTAGGTATTCTAAAATGGCTCCCTGAATCAAGCCAGACCAAACTAGACCTACATACTTGGCCGCATTTATTTGAAGTCTTTACCAAACTGTTCCTATAGTTTGCAGTGAAGTACATTATGAGAAATAGCCATAATAAACTTACTATTCTGTTTATTGCAGAAATATCACATGTAATATTGACTACGGAGTGCCCCCCTCATTTGTAAGAGATATATTCCAAGACCCCATGTGGATGCCTAAAACCACAGATAGTACTGAATCCTATATATTTATATTATCTGCCCCCCCCCCATACATAGCCATGCCCAAGTATAGTTTATACGTTAGGGACAGTAAGAAATAAAGAACAATAACAAATATAAAATTAGAGCAATTAAACAATGCACTATTGTAAAAAGTTAAAATAATGTGTTCTCTCATCCTCTTTGCCTTTCAGAATAGTTTATTGTATGTCATATTTTCAGACTGGGGGTAGCTGAAACCCATTGGAAAGTGACACTGCAAATAAGGGGGCACTACCATATCTCAGAGAATTCTATTTGTGGGGAACCTACATAGAAATTTCTCTGGGAGCCCATTGACAGCAGAAGTGTTTTCCCCAAGCAATTAGTTTGCTTTTATCTTATAGAATAAATGTTAACGATGTCTCCACTCTTTGCTTTAGCAAACCAAAGTCAAATTCAATATTTATCACCTTGTAGTATCTATTTTATGCACAGATTTATCCTTAGTTTTCACTTATTTTGTTTTTTTTTTCTTTTGCTTGTATTTCTTTACTCTCTAGGTTAATCTTCAATAACTGTGTAAAGTCCCTTTTTTGGAAAAAAAAAAATGTAGTAGGGTTCATAAAATGGTAGCGTTATTATCCTATGTCCTTGTATTTTAAAGAGCTGTGTCTTCATTAGTTTCAAATTGTGACAGAGACCAAAATATTAATGAGTGAGCAACTACCCACGCTTCTCCCTTCATGCCACCCAAGATTGGAAAGAAAAAGGCTCCTGTCTGCTGGTCTAGTTCCTTGGGTTTTATTCTCCTGTATGACTTCTTGCAAGGCGCACAGAAGAGTCCGCTTTCAGAATGTCATGTAGAACTGAGTCAAAGTGAGAAACTGAGAGAGGGGAGAAAAGGGAAAAGCTACGGAGGCTGGATGTCAGAGGAAACCAGGAGGTGGTAAAAGAGCATGAAAAGGCAAGAGCAGGGACCTGCACGTGTTTGGGATACTGTGCCTCTATTAGCACAAACCAAACGTTGAGTTATGCCGTCTAACATGCATATGCTCATTTATATTTAAATTATGAATGTATATCACATATAATTGTAAACCATATATAATTGTAATAGGATGGGATGAAATGAATACACCATAAATAGAAGTTGTAATATTTCCTTCACACATGTGTTTGTTTTGTAACCCAATATGGAGATGACTGATTTAGAGAGTGAGAAGCTTGGGGACATTAAGAGTAAAATATGAGGGAAATTGAAATTTGAACACATTTATATAAATTATGCATTGAATGCCATTTAATGATCTTCCAGAAATATAACTCAAGTTTGGGATTATATTAAATTACTTGCAGCTAATTTTTTTTTTTTTTAAATCAGAGTCTGAAATTGTCACTTGAAAGCAGGGCATAGACAATGACATTGCACCATTTTCGGACCGGAGTCAGCAGTTGGTTCTGTCAAATGTCTCAGTACTGTGGCTCAGACAGCCCAGCCTCACACATATGCAGGAGGGGTTTGGTGCCCACTCACAGTTCACGGTGACCTTGACTCTCCGGACCACTGGCGCTGCCACATCATTGGAGGCACTGCACTCGTAGTCCCCCGACTGCTCCCGGGTGATGCCCTGGATCTCCAAGTATTCATCTTCACTCACAAAGCCCACAGCTGCAGGACAAGGGGTGGGGAAGTAGGGAAAAAGCACCAAAGATCAAAACTTAGAGAATAAAGTATTGAATGTTTATTATACCTATAGACCATTGTGTCACTTCCTAAATTCAGTTTCTTAGGGGCTATGCCAATTCTCCTCAACCGCTCCTATGTTTCCATCCCCAATTTTTCCTCATTTCCCCCAAGGGCCATCTGAAATGTCTGTGTTCCTACCTGGACTCTGCACCATAAGTGATTAATAATTTTGACATTTACACTGCCCGGATCTTACCCAACAGTCCCAGTGCTGGGACCTGAGTTAGGCACCTTCGATGAATATTAACTCTTTATGATTTCAAGGTGTTATTTGGACTGAACCTTTAATTGGAGAGCTGCCTGCATTCCTGACCATGAATCTATAAAAAGAAAAATACCATACTACCAGTTAAGTACTCAGACACAAGCCACAAAAGGCCACAGAGACACTAATAAAATACACTTAAATGTCTGATTTTAGAGTTAGGCAATCAATTACATAGGTAGAATCAACTGTGTGAGTTTTGATCTGCAAGAATATTCGGGTAGAAGATCCTGAAGACTAATCAACAATGGACATTCTACCACCTAACCACAAACGAGGCAGAAAATAAGGAGTGAGACATGTCATCTTATTGTCACCTCTTCATCCTGACACTTAGTTTCTCTAGGGAAAGATTATGAGTAATATCAACCTTCTATCTACTGGATTTCCTATCTGAGGTCTGTCCAGGGTCCTTTGATTATGGAAAAACCATGCCATAAAAACCTCGACAAGTGATTTCACAATTCTCTCCATGTTCACCTGATCTTTCCCCTCCTTGTGAGACAATGGGGAAAAAAAGTGACTGCATACATCCCAGGATTTTCCTGCCTCCTCCATTAAATAAGAATAATTAGCTTGACAATATATTTTATCATGTACATTACTTTTAAGAGTAAAAATGGGGTGCTACTGATAATTATTATGGAATAACTAGCATTCATTGAGATTGTCCCTAACAACTGAGACACGTCTTTTCAGACATAATATCCATACAGTCTTAATATCTCACAGGGGTGTTTAAAGTAGCAAATGAAAAAATATGCAGGAAAGCACACTCATGTGCTACGCACCTGTTGCTTTATCGTTAGTAATCCTGTAATCTGTCTGGAGGCACAGATTCAGATGGAACAAAGCAATGATAACATGAGTGATACCAGAAGGGGGATAAAGTAGCATTTCTCTCCAAGTGATAATGTCCCTCGCCCCTCATAACTGTGTGTATATTTATAGGCTGATCCTAAGCAGGAAAATGAAAGCAGTAAGAAACTATTAGAATGCAAATAATGAGGTCTATTCATGACACATGTGTATGAAAGTTCTGCTTATAAATTTTCTGAGACATTGTTTAGGTCACCATTTTTTGTTAAGAGAACAACAAATCAGGGGCCTCCCTGGTGGCTCAAGGGGTTAAGACACAACCTATGAAGCTATCCACAGCCACTGCAGCATGAGTTCAATCCCCAGGGAGGATCGAACAGGGAGGGAGCCACCTTCCCTGTGGACAGGGATCTACCCACATGGCGCAGCAGACCTCTCCTGACCGTCTGCTGCTCCTTTTTGCAGTGTATATCAGTTAATCTGCTCAGTTAATCTGCATGTTCTGTTCCCCACTCTGACTCTGGTGAATCCTCTCTCACACACACCCCCACACCTCTGTCCTTGTATCCCAGTTCTTGTATGCATAAATAAATAAATCTTTAAAAAAAGAGAGAGAACAACAAATCAATAACAATAACAATTATAAGATGATGGCTTTGTAAATAAGGATCACTACCTGTTCAAATCCTCTGTGACTCTTTGGGACTCAAAAGAGTAACAAATCCAGCCTGAGCATTTCCTCACATTTCTTTATACCATATAGAACCTCTACTATGTACAATCAGAAATTGTACATTCTCAGGCCTCCCCTGGTGGCGCAGGCAGTTGAGCACCACGCTGTGAAGCTGTGTGCAGCCTCTCAGCGCCAGTTCGATCCCGGCCAGCTGGCCAGCGAGGGTCCCACATGGGGCGGCAGACCTCTCCTGTTGTACGCGCTGCTCCCCTCAGCAGTGTACTTTGGTCAGTCTGCCTGTTCTTTTCCCCACTCTGTCTCTGGTGACTCCTCTCACCCTCCCGCGCATCTGGCCTGTACCCTGGTTCTTGTATAAATAAATAAATAAATCTTTAAAAAAAAAAAAAGAAATTGTACATTCTCTTACCTCTTTATCTTTTTTTTTTTTTTTGTGGGACCCTTGCTGGGGGCCGGGGAAAGAACTGGCGCTGCAGAGGCTGCGGGCAGCCTCGCCGCCCAGCGCGCAACTGCTGAGCCACCAGGGGAGGCCCCCAGCCTTTATCTATTTTATAGTAAAAGTTATTGAATTCACAAAAAGAATCAGAAACGTATTAAAAAGCAGAACACTGAAAACTTTTGGTTTTCAGCATTTTGAGAAGACAATTAGCATTAACCCACAGAGTCATAATCTCAACCAGTAAGAAGCTTCTAGAAGCTTTTATTATTGTTTTCTAATCATGATGGGTGCACATGCTAGACTTGATTTGAGAAAGGGTGGAGGAAATGAGAAGAGGTTTAAATAAAGAATTTGTAATTCTTTTTATGTGTCATTGTTTATTTGCTACCAACTTGGAGTCTACATTCGTCAGATCTTTCCCAGATAGAATGTTATAATTACTGTGCAAAGCATCTCAGAGACCAGTGTCACACTTAATATTCCCATTAATTTTAAATGGTAGTCCTTGGTACATATGTGTGGCAATTGGTGTCATATTTTAATTAGGCTTGCCCTACACCATCTGAAATTAATAATAGCTCGAATTACCAGTGTAATTTATAAATTAACAGTGCCGTTGCATTAGGAAATAAATTAGCTCTGGACAGCTGTTTCTGGATTGAGCTCCAGTGTCATAGCAGTGACTGGTAAGACCTCAGCTCTCCTGGGAGGCTGTATACTACACCATCAAAGCAGGGAAATAAAAAGACATAGGGTTATCTGTGTCTCCTGTTCTTCTTTACTATTAAACATCATGCATCCATTCCAGCTTTACCATCCAAACATGCTCTTGTATGATCACAATAAGAGATACAGGGACCAAGCTTTGTTTAGCATGTTAGTGGGCATCCAAATGGAGGAGCATGTTGTGGGGGAATCACAGCCATAGACGGAAATGCAAGTCCACAAATAATAGGGTAATCACAAACAAGAAAGCACCATGTATTCAAGGGGAGGGGATGTAGGTATTAGCAAAATTTTATATATTAACATCTATCAGATGTATGTGGCAAAGGAAGAGGATGACTTAAAATTTTGAGAAAACATGTTTTTTATTGATCCAGATTTTCATTACCAGAAGAGGATTTACATTTAAGTCATCCTACAAAAAACAAAGACTTAATTTTACTATCAGATGTTCTCCAGACCAAATTTAGAATTAAATTATAGAGAAAACACCTCAACTCGTTTACCATTATTACATGCACACTTTCTAATTACACTGGATAAGGAGCATAAAAAAGTAACTTGTGGGCCTCCCTGGTGGCACAAGGGGTTAAGCACAGCACTATGAAACAATCTGCAACCTCTGCAGCACAAGTTCAATCCGCTGCCTGCCAGAGAGCTACCCACATGGCACAGCAGACCTCTCCTGTTGCACCCACTGCTCCCCTCAGCATTGCGTTTCAGTCAGTATGCCTGTTCTATTCCCCACTCTGTCTCCAGTGAATCCTCTCACCCACCTGCACCACTGGCCTGTACCCCAGGTCTTGTATGCATAAATAAATAAATCTTTAAAAAAATAAAAATAAAAAAGTAACCTGTATATAGTAAAACACATTATAAATTTTGGCTTTAATTGTCATTTTTCTCTGTTGTTTTCTACATGGCAAAATCAGAGACAAAGACCATCAGTATACACATAAGCATACATTTTCAACCACCAGAAATGAGGTGCCATAGAGGATTCTTAAAACAAACAAAATTCCCAAATCCCACTAAAATGAAATCTGAAATTATAATGATTTGAGGACAGGTTTCCTTTAACAACATTTGTGCTCAGGCTCTAAAATGAACATTTTATTATAAACATGAAGAACTCCTACAAAATTTTGGAGGAAAAGAAAGACCAGATCAACAGCACATACATTTCAAAATGCTAAAGGGAATTCTTGGTAAAGAGCTACCAGTGAGAGGGAGCAAATCACTTGATAAAATCCTCTGAAAAGGAACTCTTTGTGGTCAATAGCTTCTCATTTATAAGTCTGCTTTTGCCTTTGTAAAAGAAAATGTATCTTTGGTGGAAATGACCCACTCATCTTCCTAAAACATCCCCTTCATCATGTCACACCTCTCCAGACACTAAAAATGGTTCCCTATTTTCTGTAACATCAAACACTAACTCCACTGTCTTATCAAAGCCCTTCATAAAGTTGCCCTGAACTACTCATCCAAGTCTAACTCCCATTAGTGCGGTGTGGAAGATAACTGATGACCATGGTAAAGAATAAATGTTTGGGATCAAACTCAATTCTCTATCTGCAAGTTTCTGATGTGTTAAGTAACTAATTCCTCAGGGTTACCATGTCTTCATCCGCACCATTCAGTTAAGATAATATTATCTCCTTCTAGTGGTTCTATGAGGATGAAATACAGCAAATGGACAAGGTAGTGCACAGAGTCATGTGATCAGGCCTTCCTTCTGAAGTGTTCACCGCTGTAATCATCACCACGGCCACCAACACCACCCCTACCACAGCTCTTAACCAGTCCAGGTTATTTTTCATCTTGAACAAACATGATCCTTTCTTCACAATCACTTCTACTGCTTAAAAGCTATGGTCTCTTTGTCTACCAAAGCAAACATTTCCTAACTTTCAAACTCTAATTTTTCCACGAAAATTTTCTGTTATAAGTTGAATTGTGTGTTTCCCTCCCCCCACCAAAAGATATGTCAGAGTTCTTACAAGAATAACTCAGAATGTGACCTTTATTTGGAAATGAGGTCTTTATAAAGGTAATCAGATTAAAATGAGGCACTAAGTTGAACCCAACAGTTCCCCTCCCACAAACATTCAGTGTCCTTATGGAATTTGGACACAGGCAGACATCAAAAAGGGAAGACGGTGTGAAGACTGACAGGAAAATCATGGTTGTGGGACTGGAGTGAAGCATTTACAAGCCAAAGATTAGCCCAGAAAAATCTGGTAAACTCCTGAAGCTAGAACAGGCAAAGAAAACGCTCCCCTTTCACTGTCAGAGAGAACATAGACCAACTGACACCTTGACTTTGGACTCTAATTTTGAGATCTGTGAGACAAGACATTTCAGTTTTTTTTAAGTCATCCAGCTTTTTGTGCTTTATTATGACCACCCTAGGAAACCAACACCCACCATCCCCTTTATTTCCTAAGCTTCAATGCCTGTGGATGTCCTGCAATTTTGATGCAGGTAGAGATCATTTGGTATTTAAAATAATGAAATAATTAAACTGAAGAACATGAAGGTCATATAATTCTACAGTTCCTACACTGTAACACAGTAGAACCTCAGTAGAATTTCCTAGAGTATTTGCTTAAATATAGATATCTAGATCCCAGAAATCAGATTCTCCTAAACTGAGAAATTTCAATAATTTTAGCAGAAAATTTTCAGGTATAGCCAAATTTGGGAATTAGTGAATTACTAATGTGGGAAATCAAAGCTTAGGGAAGCCATAATCAGTTCTGGTTGGTGACAGAGCACACTTGGCCACTTGATCTCCAATCTATACCTCCGGCACCTGTGAAAGCCTAGTAGTTGTGCTATGCTACACACACTGGTATTATGATCCAATACAAATGAAACTCTTGAACAGTAGGGATCAAGCCTGGGATATCTCTGTTTTCAAGACACCTAGGGAAGTAATTTACATAATTTGAAAACTGTCAGCTTCTTATTCATAAACTGACTGACTTCTTGTAGTGGCAGGATGGACCAGAGCAGTTTCTCTGTGATCAAACAGATGGGTAAAGGAGGAGTCCTGGAGCCCTTGGTGGCTTTTTCAGGCTTTTATTGGGATTTTACCAGGTACACGGCAGGCAGGGGGGCCTGGGTGCTGCAAGGCTGCCAGCTTCCTGGCCCCCAGCAAGTCCTCTTTCTGGGCTCTCTGGTATTCTCTCATGGCCTCTGCTTCTTTGCTTGTTCTATTTTCATTCTTGCTTCCTCTCCTTCTGGTGGTTCCGCTGGTTCTCCATGATGACACCCTTATAAATCCCAGTCTCAGCCCAGGTGAATCCCACCTATATACACCAACAACCTACTCCAGGTGCCTGGCATCAGGCATCATTCAGGACCACAGGGATCCATCATCGATCCTAATGGTGGGAGGGAAGAAAAGCCTGACATCATTTACCCTACAGTGCCATACTCAGAATTATAGGCTGAATTCTATTGAACAAAAGTCAGGGGCATGGCATTGCTCAACTAATGGCATGTAACACTATCCCTGGGACAATGCCACTTCTGATACTTGTTCTTAGCATAATAGGTTTATCTTCTGACTTTTCAAATATCGTCATTATTAGCATTCTCAGAAATTACTTTCCTTGAATATGCTATTTTAAAGCTTTATGGAATGTTTCACATAATTTATATAAAGTCTTGGGGCCAATTATTTCCTGGGGGAATGCATCCTTAATTTTAAAAATGCAGATCGATGAGGAAGTATGATTTATCCAGCAGGATTTGTTTTACAGCCAACTTTTCAGGAACACAGCTATTTCATTAAGTGGGAGCTGACAACCCAAGCAGTGAAATGAAGCCAGTTGGAAATGTGGTGGATCCTGCCCCCACATTGTAGAAGATCATCACCTCCTGAAAGGGTTGACCTCAGCAGTTTACAACCAATTGAAGGTTGGTTGCTCTGTGTAAGTGATACCCCTTTGGAAAAGAAAACCCCAAGTTTCTGAGTTCATTGATTGGGTGTTTAAAAGTTTCATAACTGAAAATAATAATAGCCACAATTATCATATTTATCGCACCCAAGAATAAGCTTGTCAGGAGAACAGCTGTAGCTGTTGAAGAGGAGAGGACACAGCTGTCGGCTTGCTTAATATTTTTATGGCATATATACCAGCTGAAATAAAAATTGTTGGGCCTTAGAAACCGAAAAAATATAAAACCCCAAAAAACATAGAATCCCAGACTTTGAGAGTTGGAAATAATTGTTTTTAAAATTTAGTCCAGTTGCTGTGTCTAGTCTAGTGGTAGACTAGTATTCTTTCTCTCTCAATTGGTATCAGGATGTTTCTGTTAAACCCAGGCTGGGTGGTGCTAGAAATAGAGTGTCAACACCTGCCAATGAATGAAGAACACCTTTCCTTGCCCCTCCCCACGGAGGATGCAGCTTGTGCATGCGCACAGCCCACACCCTCAGAGCTGAGCTTCCCTCTTTACCAGCAGAGGCAAAGGTGAGGAACTTAATTGGGGCGGGAGGGTGGGATTGGAAGACCATGAGAAGACCTGTATTTGAGCACAAGGTGCGACCTCCAAAAACTAACCAGAGGTAACTGAGATAAAACTGAGGCACGCAGATGGACCCCAAGTTTCGTATTATCGTGGCACTGATGCCCGACCAGGATGGAGTTGCGTGGGCTAGAGACAAAATCCAGACTGCGACATCTGCTGTGACTGGGCGAGATGATCAATGGTAAAACACATTTCTAAATGTTGTGTTAATGTTAAATTATTGACACAGTAAATTCTGAGAGTCTGGTATCAGGCTCAAGCAAAATGGCTGAAGAGAGGCGCTCGTGGGTCTGGATACCACCAGCCTCACTGTGGGGTTCTGCAGAGTTCTAGTGCTTGCACAGGGGGCCGGATAGGACGGACTATTTGGTGGTTAATTTGTCTATGTGAGCTTCCTCTTCTATAAAATGGGGGAAGATAATGCTACATTGTAGGTCCATTGTATTAAATATGTGTGAAGTTCTTAGAACATAGCAAGCTCTCAAAACTTGGTAACTATCAGGAGCATTATTATCACTGATTACTCTGCTCAGTTTGTATACATTTTGATATACAGGATCCTGGATACATCAAAATCTCAACTCTGAAATGAAAGGATAATCAGATCTCTGCTTTTCTAGTAGGACTCTACTGTAAGCTTTATAAAGGACTCCCCACAGAGCCTTGCACTAGAAAGTTCTACTTCTTTCACTTAAAATAGGATGGGATTTACAAGGGATATAATTTCTCGGGATCATTTCTTCTAAGAAAGCAGATATGTAGCTGCATCGCCCATGTGAGACCTGCTGAGGGCTTGAGCAATGTCTCCAATTTCACAACTAAGAATGAAAGGATATAAATATAGTTTATATTTATTTTTTTCTCCTTGACCTGTCCTTTGGATACAGATAGCATGGCTGGCAAAAAAAAGTCTGATGGCCTCTCCAAGAATGAGTGAACTTAAAAAAAAATCTCAGGGGAGAAAAAAAAGATGCTGGAGAGATTTTACCTGTTAACAGCACTGAGGTACAGCCTCAAAGAGAAAATTACCTTTGGTATCAAACATAGGGATGGTCTTTAGGGAATGGGGCACACTGAACTTTTGTAAATGCAAGAGGAATCTTCCCTAAACATGTTAGTGTTGGTGGCTGGTAAGGGAGGAGCTAAAGTGGTAGAAAGGAGGTTGCAGGGATGTCCCTTTGCCATTACCTGCCTATGTCAGATGTGTCTCTATTGCATATGGTTCTATTATTTTTTTTTTTTTAAACAGGGGAGATGTATTTATCATTTTCCTGGGCTTTCTGCAGTAGCCTAAGAACTGATTGCTTCTGAGATCCTTCAACTTGTTACTGCCTCCTACAGAGAGAAGGTAACATTCCCAAACAGCTTCAATGCTCACTAAGCCCTTTACTTAAGATGGAAATGCAAACTGATAACATGAAAATTAATCTATTAACCTGATTCCAGCATGAAGTGATAGAGGTTCAATAAAATATTATACAAACTGATACCAACTATAAATTGTGTATCTCTGTCCATTCATCCATCATCTGTGCATCTATCTGATCTATCTAGACATAAAGACAACAGCTGAGCACTTATTAAGAAATCATTTGGTAGTTGAAACTGAACATATGCATATGTTTGAATATGTATAAATCTGCATATGTAAAATGCAATATGTTATTTTATCCCTTAAATTTTTGATTGGGAAATTTTCTGGGAATTATTAAGGGGCAACTGCAGCCCAAAATGTAATTATATGAAAATGAGCCCTCTGATTTCACAGAAACAGGTCCTGTGCATTTCTGAGATCGATTCATTCCCTTAATAATATGACACTAGTTGTTTTTTTTTTTTTTTTTCAGACTGAGGCAGCAGCAGCCGGTTGGGCCCTGGGAGTTATGCACCCCTCTGCTGTGTGCCTTCTCTCAAGGCCTGTCAGCTCAGTTTTGCATGCAGACCCTCTATTATGGGTGATGATATCAAAGTCAGAAAGCACACAGCTGGATGTTTGGAGTTCACAGCTTGATGTCTGGAACCTGGGTATTTGCAGTAGTGCAGCTGATGGCTGCTAAAAAAAAAAAATTAAAAAATAAATAAATCAGCTTTGATTTGTAAACTCAGCCAATTTGATCTGAAAGACATTGATAGGGGATAAATATAGAACTCCGCAGTGTCATATTACCTCAGTATCTTGGCTGTATGCTTTCTCTTTTTCTAAAATTTCTAGAGCTATATGCCAGGACTGAGTGCTGAGAAATGTAAAGAATTTAATGGCTTCAAAATTCCTTGCCCAGATTAATTTAAGGAAATTACTTTCACTTGAGAGGCTCCCAATGGGTTAAGGCTCTGGTGACACCAGTATGTACTTTCTAGGTTGAGAAGTCCAATGCACCTGAGCCAACACAATCATCTGGTTCCGAACTTGAGAAAGAAGGGCAGTCTGTACCTGTCAAGTTTGTAATTTAGCCACAACTACTCTTTCTAGTGCAAGAGTTCTCAATTTGAGAATTGCAGAACTGTAACCTCAGCGTGTTTGAACTTCAGAAGTGGCATTGCGTGTGTGTTCTCTAATGAGATGTTCTTTTTTAAAAAGATTTATTGATGCATACAAGTACTGGGGTACAGGCCAGAGGTGCAGGGGCTGAGAGGATTCACCAGAGAGTGTGGAGCAGAAGAGGCAGATCTACTGAAACACACTGCTGAGGGGAGCAGTGGAAGAGACAGGAGAGGTCTGTTGCACCATGTGGATTAGCCCCTTTTGCGGGGATCAAATTCATGCTGCAGAGGCTGCGGATAGCTTCATAGTGCTGAGACTTAACCCCTTGTGCCACCAGAGAAGACTTCTCTAATGAAACATTCTATACCTTTCTGAAAAGGGGTCTAAAAGGAGTTTAGGATACAAAAAGCTAATATTTTCTATGGTCCTTGGGACATCCCCTAGTGATTGTACAGAATACCCCATAAAGAAAAAAACAAAAACTTCTTCACATGTAACTGATGATCAGAAAAAGAACACAAGTCAAGAAGTACAGCAGAGTCTTGTGTATGATTTATTAACTATTTTGTGGAGGATGTGGAGTGAAGTGACTTATAAATAATCCTTTTGAAGAATAGATATGTGGCTCTAAGGAGTTCTTTTCCCACCAAGACAGGATGAAAGGAGCACATTGTGTAGGGCCCTCCCTACCCCAGGGAGACCCATGGCCACTGGGGGTTAACATGGGGCCTGTGGACATGGAAGGAAGCAGAAGCAAGACTTCCCCTTCGCATGAAGCCTCCTAAGATTCATAGCAGAATGCTTTCCTGAGGAATCCCATTCACTGGTGACTCTACTAAGCAAGCACTCAATGACAAAATGACCACTGGGGCAAAGGAGGGTGTGGAAAACCTGGGATGGGATCAAATCTATATTAAGAGAATTCAGGGCCTTCTGGTGACCTAGGGGTTAAGTCTCAGCACTATCACTGCTATGGCCTGAGTTCGATCCCCGGCCAGAGAGCTGACCCACATGGCACAGCAGACCTCTCCTTGCTGCTGCTCCCCTCAGCAGTATATTTCAGTAGGTCCACCTGTTCTGCTCCTTGGTGAATCCTCTCATTCTCCGTCCCTCACAACTCCGATCCACACTCCAGTTCTTCTACGCAAAACAAAACAAAACAAAAACTTAAAAATATAGATAATCCAGTGAACAAATTCAGATTAAGTGCTGGCAAGAAATGACAAGATGTTGCCAATACAAGAGATGGGGATATCAAATATCCACTTCCCATCAGCATGGGTAAGAGAATGGGTGTAGGAGAGTGATTCGAGAAACCACACTGGAAACTCCCATGGGGAATATCCAATGGCAGGGAACCTATTGGTATAGGCCCATTCGGGTCCAGAGGAACAAGACTAAAAACTTTGCCATATTATATTATAGACTTTGGATAGATCTTTATGTATATAGATAGCAATATAGATATATAATCTTTTCAAATAGTTCCCACTGTCGCCCCGCCACCAAAGGTAATTGCTGCTTGAAAGGTGTTCAGGCCCCTGCCCACTTATCTGTGATGGCCTCCCCTCCTCTGTTGTGAGTTTTCAATTACGTACAGATAGAATTTGCATCTATAAAAACAGAGAGTATGAAGAGTAAAATAAGTTGATTTATTCTTTCATTAGTTACCCTACTCATGAATGTTTCCTTCTCTTTTCATTTCACATAAAACCTAAGTGTAGGCAAGCACTCCCGGGTCCTGGATGGAATGCAATTCATGAAAACAAGACAATCAGATATTAACAAAATAAGTCTGATATTTTTGGATCCACATTACGGCTATTTCTCTTAGGAATTAGATAACCTTGAGCACATGACTGATGTCTAGTCCCCTCATTAGTAAAATGTGAAGACTTTTTTTAAATCATTTATAAGTTGATTCTGAGAATTACATGAGAGAATTGGTGCAAATGCATAGATGAGTGATTGACACATGGGAGATGTTCAAAAAAAGAAGAAAGAAACCATGGGAAGAATTTTGTATATTTAACCCCTGAGTAAGGGCCACTCCTTTGCTTCTTCTCTTTCCTGGTTCATCTATATTATGAAAACTCACATCTACATTCTGAATTATCAGCTATACTCATGATTTCTTTTAAACATTATTTATTTATTTATTTATGCATAGAAGAACTGGGGTGCAGGCCAGAGGTACAGGGAGTGAGAGGATTCACCAGAGAGAGACCGGGGAACAGAACAAGCAGATCTACTGAAATACACTTCTGAGGGGAGCAGCAGGTGAGACACGAGAGGTCTGCTGCGCCATATGGATTAGCTCCCTGGCCAGAGAATGAACTCATGCTGAAGTGGTTGGTGATAACTTGATAGTGCTGAGACTTTACCCCTTGCACCACCAGAGAGGCCCGATGCTCATGTCTTCTTCATCCACGTCAGTGCCCCAGGAATAGCTACTGAACTCTAAGTCCATTATTGCCAACGGAAAGCCTCATATACGGGTCTCACAGACAACATGTACTGAAGTCATCATCTTGTCCCTCGAACCTGTTCTTACCCTATGTCTTATATCTGCAATCTCTGTGCATGGTGTGGCTAACTCCCCATACTCCTGAGATGAAAAAGAGTCCCATTTGATCCCTGTCTCTCATCCTTCATCTTCTGTCAACCAATCCTTTCATTTTTACCCACTTTACAATTTTCAAATTTATTTTCTTCATTTCCTCCTCATCATTCACTATTTTAATTCAGGCCACTGTGAGCTAGTCTGGATAATTATAATATCCTCTTTACTGACCTTCCTGCCTCCAGTTCATTATTTTATTCTTGTCAAAAACATTGCCAAAAATAACAATCATCCTGCTTAAATCCTTTTGCTGCTCCAGTGCTCTCTTTGACATGGTCTGAAAAGGCTTCCCATGAGCTGGCTGTGGTCTGTACCTCCATTACCAACTCCTTCTTCCCCGCAACCATGGAACACACCAACAAAGTACGCAAATGCTAGGTTATTTTTTCTGTGCCTTTATCTGCTCCTTCTCTGCCTGGAATGTCATACCCCTTTGTCTCCTTTCAAAAGTCTTTGCATCTGTCTAACACAATCTAGATATCACTCTTCTGGGACCTTTTCTTGACACTCCAGCTTCCCTACATCCTCTCTACCCAGTTTACTGGGGGTTTTGTTTGTTTATTTTTTGGTTGTTTCTAGTATTGCATGAATCACCCACGTTTTTATGTATTTATATATTTACCCAACTTGACTCACATTTCCAAGAGACAAGGAACACGTTTATCTCCATATCTACCCCAGTACTTCACAGCTTCTGACAAAGACTGGGTACATAAGATCGCTTCAAATCTCCTATGATTAACAAATTTTATTCCACATTTTCTAAGATGTGTAAAAAGGTCTTCATCAAGCGAGGCCTGGGTGAATAAGAGCCAGGTTTAACCATCTCCACAGATATCCTAGTTAAAAGTCCTTGTAGCTAATGTCCCCTGTTTCCTCTGGCTGAGTTAGGATACAGTGTATCCTAATCAGAAGTGTCTTAGAGAGCTTTCTTATGTCATCATCAATTCAGTTGAATTTTTTCCGAGTGGAATCAGCTTGGTGATTCAGTTCTGTCTATATGTAATTAGTTGTGGAATGATTGCAGGGAATGTGATTAGGCTATTTACCTTCCTGGGACAGGCAGGGGAAAAAATGCTGCCATCAACATAAAATGGGCCATAACAGAAGACAGGGTAGCCTTTGCAGTAGAAACACTAACAGTACAAGCATTACAATAAGCAGTGCTATGCCAGCCATGGAAGCTGGCAGTTGGGATGTGGTTTCAAGCAACAGCTGCTTCTATGAAAGTATTGAACTCAGCCAAATAAGGCGATACCATGCTGGAACACCAGAACCACCCTGAGCATTCCCGTCACCTGCTTCAAGGGTTTATAACCAAAATATACAAATAGAACAGATGTTCCCATTTTTACACTTGTGCTCATGTGATATCCCTGCCCTCCTGCCTTCTTGGGATCCAGGATTCTTGCCTACCAAGTGCAGTCTTCTGTTCTTTCTGCCTCCTTTGTCCTCAGCTGCTCTACTTAAATCACATTGGATCCCACTCTTCCTAAGTTTTCTTCAAATTTAGTGACTTTCTTGCTTTCCCACAAATCTGGGAGATGGGTAAAGGGCACCTTAGAAATAAAGAATAACTAGAGACCCATCAGATGTTTTAATGTGCAGCTTCAGGACACTAATTCTCACATCTAAGATTTGTCTGGCACCTTCCATGGTGCTGTGGACAAGTAGATGGGAACTCTGGAATCATCTGGTGGGTTCAGCAACTGGTAACAAAAGGGGAGAGAGACACTGAGAGAATGGGAAGGGAGAGAAAGAAAGAGAGATAATGAATGGCAGAGGGAGAGGAAGAAAAGGAGAGAATGTGGGAGAGCAAGAGTGGAAGTAGATGACAACATTATAAGTCAAATAAAGCAAGCAGAATGCGAATGTTAGCTAAAGGCAATTATCCAATTGCGTAGGTAAACCAGAAATTTGCTCCCATGACTGCTGTGTTCTCATCAAAGCTCAAAGCCATTGTCACCCTTTGG